TTTTCCTCCGTGGTCTGACATTGTCACATTCTTAATCACGTGTTTATTTTCGTGATATACACACACATATATATATATATATATATGTCGTACCTAGTAGCCAGAACTCACTTCTCAGCCTACTATTCAAGGCCCGATTTGCCTAATAAGCCAAGTTTTCCTGAATTAATATATTTACTATAATTTTTTTTTATGAAATGATAAAGCAACCCTTTTCTCTATGTATGAGGTCAATTTTTTTTATTGGAGTTAAAATTAACGTAGATATATGACCGAACCTAACCAACCCTACCTAACCTAACCTAACCTATATTTATAGGTAAGGTTAGGTTAGGTAGCCAAAAAAAGCTAGGTTAGGTTAGGTTAGGTAGGTTAGGTAGACGAAAAAACATTAATTCATGAAAACTTGGCTTATTAGGCAAATCGGGCCTTGAATAGTAGGCTGAGAAGTGCGTTCTGGCTATTAGGTACGACATTATATATATATATATATATATATATATATATATATATATATATATATATATATATATATATATATATATATATATATATATATATATATATATATATATATATATATATTATATATATATATATATTATATATATATATATATATATATATATATATATATATATATATATATATATATATATATATATATATATATATATATATATATATATATATATATATATATATATATATATATATATATATATATATATATATATATATATATATATATATATATATATATATATATATATATATATATATATATATATATATATATATATATATATATTATATATTATATATATATATATAATATATATAATATATAATATATATAATATATATATATAATATATATATATATATATATATATATATATATATGTCGTACCTAGTAGCCAGAACGCACTTCTCAGCCTACTATAGAAGGCCCGATTTGCCTAATAAGCCAAGTTTTCATGAATTATTTGTTTTTCGACTACCTAACCTACCTAACCTTACCTAACCTAACTTTTTCGGCTACCTAACTTAACCTAACCTATAAAGATAGGTTAGGTTAGGTTAGGTAGGGTTGGTTAGGTTCGGTCATATATCTACGTTAATTTTAACTCCAATAAAAAAAAATTGACCTCATATAGAATGAAATGGGTAGCTTTATCATTTCATAAGAAAAAAATTAGAGAAAATATATTACTTCAGGAAAACTTGGCTTATTAGGCAAATCGGGCCATGCATAGTAGGCTGAGAAGTGCGTTCTGGCTACTAGGTACGACATATATATATATATATATATATATTGTGACGATAATCTCCTTCAAGAGATTGAGCCTGCTCTTCCCTCCAAAATTACGTCTTCACAATTATATAAAAAGACTATGGAAGAAATGTCCAACAACGACAACAACACCAGCAAGGCTTGCAAGGGTGAGCAGAAACGTATGCAGCCCGCCACCTGTTCGGACCCAAATCACCAAACTACCCGTTGATCGCTACGGCTCCGCTGATTGGTCGCCGGTTTGGCTGCACCTGCACTCGCCCCCCAATACTACCCGATGTCTGGGGTCGCCCCAACATCAGTCTTCAGAATGTTCCGTGCTTTCGTAGCCAGCACTCCTCCCAGCTAGACTCTAGAGTGTACTGAGAGAGGTGGTGGCTTTAAGCCAATATTCCAGCACCTCCCACTTAACTTTTGTGTTGCACTTCTTGTTATTTTGCCTTAACGTAACTTTTCATTTTGTCATTTAAGTATTCTTATTATTTTGATTCATTGATTTTATTATAAGAATTTGTTTGTGCATTATTTTCATGTTTTGATTTATTTAACGTAATTAAAATTTCATTGTTAAAGTTTACTTGTGTTTTGTGTGTCTTCTCCTTACCTTACCACAGACGAAGTTCCAGTTTTCTATTTTTTTTTTTTATAACTATGTGACGAGGCCATACCCCTAGCCTTAAACAGCCGAACACCAACGCGTTACCGTCACAATATATATATATATATATATATATATATATATAAACAAAAAACTAACCAAACCTATGGAATAATCAAGTGATTTTTTTTACTTTAAAGAAAAGAAGGTAGTTATTCAATTGTATAAATCACCTGGATAATTGCATCCAGGCATGAAGACCTCATCTCCTAAAAGACATACGTAGCTTCATTGGAGAAAGTTCAACACCGGGCAACAAAAATAATTCCAGAACTAAATCAACTCTCATACCAGGAAAGGTTGAGGGCCACAGAGTTAACAACTTTGCAAACCAGACATGATAGGGCTGATCTCATCCAAATGTACAAAATATTGAACAATTTGGAGGATGATGATCCAGACATCATCTTCAACAGGTCAGATGAAATGCAAACAAGGAGCAACAGTTTCGAACTCAACAAGCCACAATATAGGACTGAAAGAGGAGAGGCTTTTTCACCCACATGATTATAAACCCTTGGAACTGCCTCCGCACCAGAGCTGTAAATGCCTAAACTTTTATTTATTTTTTATTTATTTATTTTTTATTTATTTATTTTATTTATTTATATATACAAGAGTTTTTACATTCTTCTACAGCCACTAGCACGCATAGAATTTCGGGCAAATCCTTAATCCTATGTTCCTCAGAATATGACCCGCCAAATCGTTTATCAATCAGGTACCCATTTTTCTGTTGGGTAAACAGAGGCTACAGTTAAGGATTGATGCCCAGTAAATCCTCCCCGGCCAGAATACGAACCCAGGACAAAGTGCTCGCGAAACGCCAGGCGAGTGTCTAACCACTACACCCCAGGGACCGCTTGACTCTTAAACTCTGCTGAACTATTAAAATCCAGCATGAAAAAATCATCAGGACAAATGGGAGGACCTTTGGCAAACTACCGAATTCCTTTCCTCATCGCGACCCTGGAGTGTTAGTGGCCTTCGGGTAAATTTACAGTATACTGTACCTAAGTAACACTTAAAGCAATTTAATGATGTTATGTCATTGTGTTGTGCATTTCAACCTCAGGATATGTAATTCAACAAAGTTATCCTCAGTTCCAGTCATACCTGTTCATAGACAGGTATACACACAATTCCAACACAATGACTATGGTACATTTAAACGCAGTCAGCCATATTGGAATATTCCATTAATATTTCACTTCAACAGAGCAAAAAATGCATTCTTTTACTGTACTGTATTTATGCAATAGGGTAATTTTTTCTCAGGTAGAACACATCACAAATTGTATTTCTGTAAATTAAAAAAAAAATGGTTGTATATTACAATCAAGTAGTATTGGTAACTGGTGTTATATAGTGGTACTTTTTCTTCCCACCAAATGCAGAGTGGGTCCAGGCTGTTAATATACAAAATTGCTACTATTGCTAAAAGGTTACCATTAACTGATGAAATTTTGAGTGTCACTAAAATATAACAAGACAAGATGCTAGATAAAATTAGTATGCAATATCAATAGCAAATCAAATAAATTATGAAGTAAATATATTCTGGCAAATTAAGAGAATCTTAAATTTTTAAATTTAGATATCTCCTATATCACACTATATATATTAATATGGAACACCGCCAGCCTACCATCCTCACACTAAATCATGAATAAAGAGTACACTCCTTGTTTTAGTATAGCTAAAGGCTTATGCAAAACTATTAAAATGACTTACAGATGTTTTATTAACTAGTTTGATGAATGGGTTGAATAACACTTAAACCATACAACCACACAGGAGATGCACTAGGTCACACACACACACACGCACACACACACACGCATGCACACACAGTGTCAGAGTGGTTGACAAATGGAATGCATTATGAAGTGATGTGGTGGAGGCTGACTCCATACACAGTTTCAAGTGTAGATATGATAGAGCCCAATAGGCTCAGGAACCTGTACACCTGTTCATCGACAGTTGAGAGGCGGGACCAAAGAGCCAGAGCTCAACCCCCACAAGCACAATTAGGCGAGGTAATACATGAACTAAACGCCTCCATGAATTAGAACAGTACTGTGCAAAACTGTAATAGTGAGACAAGGAAGACCTATTTAACTCCAAGGGTGCAATTCCCTAACATATTTCACTATAACTGCTTGCTTGGTAAATCTACATCATTCACATTACAAACAATGCTAAATAATGTAATGTGGCTAGTTAAAATCAAATCTAGGTCTAATAAAATGTACTGAACACAAATACAGTTATTCTGAGCTAAGATAAGTTGATTTTATGAAAATTAAATCCCCCCATCCTTAGATTAAAAAATAAGGAATATAACCATCAAATTTATGTCAAAACTTACAAATTACTCCTCAACTAGATAGACTTTATAAACACAGCACTATCAAGATAAGCTAGATTAAGTCTTATATATGTTATCAAACTGCATACCATTTTTGTTTAACACATGAACATAGATTAGCAACACAGTAAAGTGTCACAGTAACTGTTGATACTTGTATCACTGAGCCTGACTCAAGCACCACTATGCATCATGGCATTTAAATGACAAATGTATTTAACAGTAAAACTTCTTAAAACAAAAGAAAATGAGATTTCCCTCTTCAATTAGCATAATGATTTTCCCTATTTTATTAGAATATTTGTTACTTAAAAAAAAAATACAAAGTTTAATGCTTTTTAAATATAAATACTCTTTACTACTCTTGGAAGTCTTGACAGCCCCTGTCATAGAAATGAACCATCAAATATCACCTCCAAACATTATTTCCATACAGTCAACCGTACTTATTAATGACCATAAACCCTGAAAAAAAAGATACGACTCAAATAACCAAGTGATCAAGCCATCGAGGGGTCTCAATGCTCCAAGTCAAAAACTCTTGGAGCCACTCGCTTATCTCCACTACTACGCTTCTCAGATCATCAAAACATTAACCAATGCAAAGAAAACTTCAAATGACACACGACTTATGTAATGGCCGCGTGGTATAATGTCCCCCCGAGAGCACCTACCATAGCTTCACCAGCCCATTTCAGCGAGCTCATCACACACGCACCTCACGCTAGCCCAGACTGGGAGTCAACTGTAAACAAAGTGACAGCCGAGGCCCAGATGAGCGTCGGGATGCGCACACCCACCTGGTCCCCTGCCAGCCACCCCGCCAGATTTCAAACTTTAAAGTAGAAATACTAGAGTAAATTATCACACCACTAAGTATTTAAAGCGTCTGAATGCTATGCTGACTAAACTTCTGACTTCTGCCCGAAACGCTGCATGCGTACTAGTGGCTTTATAAGAATGTAATTACTATGCTATGTATCCTCACAATCCCAATGTACCTTCTTGTATATATATAAATAAATAAATAAATAAATAAATAAATAAATAAATAAATAAATAAATAAATAAACGTATAAATGTTCCAACTGTAAATATTATTGGCCAGGAAAATCAATAAACGGTTGGAGCATTACCGCAAGGGTCTTTATATTTAAACTTGAGTATAATACAAGAACAGATAAAACTGCCAAAGGCCTATTGGCCTATTTGAGGTAGTCTCATATTTTCAACTACAGCCATGCACTGATATATTTGTCTAACCCGTATACAACGCCCTGTGCAGCTCCGCTTCAAACAACCGAACCCCACATCTATTAATTATGTCACCTGCTGGCCACGCGGCCTATAAATCAACAACTCTATTTGCAAATTGGTATTTACCAAAATATTTTGAAGCTAAACTTATCCAGTTCGTATGCACTGTTTCGTACTATATTTTATGTTGTATTTGGCACTATGAAATCCCCCCTTTGTTGTAGATTTTCATTTAGTCCCTATGGTACTCGCTCCACGCCTCGCCAGCAATATCGGCCGGGTTCGAACCCTGGGCAGGGAAGGTTAACTTGGCACCGATCCCTAATTATTCGCTCATATTCACCCAGCAGTAATTGAGAACTTGGTTGTAAACCAATTGGCGGGTCGAGTCCCATGGATAATTAGTAGGATAAGGCTTAATTATGATGAGCAACTGAAAGGGAAGCTCTAAGCTTGCTGACATCTCAAAAGTCATCTACTCCTGTACACACCTATGTAAAAACTAAACAAAAATCTACTTGTATACATCAGTCATGTCTCCCTGCATGACTTACAAGTTAAGTCATGCAGGGTTGTTCCCTGCATGACTTAATGACATGACTTCCCTGCAAAAACATCTCACTTATCTAGAGAATGTCAATGATTATTTTTTGTATTTATCTTCGTGCGGGATGTTCCTAATGCCCAGGTAGTAACTAAATAAAATAAATAAAATATTTATTCAGGTAAGGTACATACATACAAGAGATTTTACATAAATTGATCGATTTATAGATAGAGCTAGTACATACAATGCCTAAAGCCACTATTACGCAAAGCGTTTCGGACAGGAAACGACCAGCAATTGAAACAACTGTATCAATTGTATCTATATACTTTATAAATAAGTTTGTAAATTGTATATTATGATAGCGATAACTGAATTACATCTGTGTGGGGGCCTAACAAGGCCAGAGTGTGACTGAAGGGTGACAATTATCTTTGTTTACCTTTGGTGTTGGACTTGATTCGAGTGTTGCCGCCAGACGCGGCTAGTTTATTGTTCACCCCATACTCATCCTGTGAGCGGTAGCGCAAAAAGCATTACAGAGGGCACAAAAGGTGTTTATCAGAGCTCATCTTAGATTATTACATAAACAATTTCATCTATCCTTCACACCTTATAGTTGCAATGTCAGCTAGTTACAGAGACAGTGCTATTTCAAGAGCTCCCGCGTGTCAACCTGTGGAAAGGAAATGTAGATGTTTATCTCGCCGAATGTTTGGTAATATGTTTATTGTTTGTGATGTGTGTCTATGTATGTATTAACACGATGTACTGAACGGGGTGAGAATAGCTACCTCATCCCTTTGTGTGTATTTTACCTCAATAAACTTATTTCAATTTCAATTTCAACCTGTGGAAGGTTATCAAGGCCATCACAACAGTTTACTGACCAACCAGCAAGTATACTTTAGTCCTGAACATTGTCGAGGACTAAAGTGTACTCTCAGTGTACATACACATAGAAGTGAGTTACACCTCTCGGTGTACATACTCATAGTGGTGTCTTATTGATAACTCTTCTTAACACACAGAAATTACGATAGCGTGATGAATCAAATGAACAAATCCACAAGGTTTGTAGCTCAGTCGGTTAAGGCGGTGTCTGGTAGCCTCTTAGACGTAGGTGCGAATCCTCATCATGGCCCTTGTAGTATAGTTCATAACTCTTTTTATGATACCTATTGTATTCAATTTGCCTTTTTTGTTTACATTTATGCATTTATTTCTTAGCTTACGTCACCTACTAATCATTACACCCAGATCATTTTCGTATTCAGATTTGCCCAGCCGATATATGTTAACTTTTATCATTTCCAAGGCCTAGAAACCCACATTTAACAGACAGCCAAGGTAACATCAGTCCATACAAGTGGAGATCACACTACCATTGACAACTATAGGCCAGTATCAATCCTATCCACAATTTCTACAATATTTGAGGAACTGAAGTAGAAGCAGGTTTGCTCCTGCCTGGCTGAAGATGGGTGTTTTCTGCGTGGCTTCAGACCATTAAAAAGTGTCAGTAATGAAATAAATATCATGGACTCAATACGCTAAGTTAATGATACAAATGAGGCTACAGTTAGGCTACTTTAACCATAATAACTAAACTATCTTATTACGGTGCGTCCCATCTGCCCTCAGTGGCAGATACCAGAAAGTCTATACGAATGATGGCACGTCCCAGAGGCCTATAGGAATGATGCCACGTCCCTCACACAACCACTCAACACTGGTCCAGGACCATTAGTCAAATTTTCTTTCCCATATACATCAATGGCCCAACAAATGTCAACCAACAGTAAGTCAACAACACTGTTGCCTACAGTGTAATTTACAACTTCCAACAGTATATGCTGAACTAAACAAAAAAAACATTTGGCTGACCACACACACTTATCCTTAACATTGACAAGACATACTACATTTAAAAGTAAATTTAACAATCAAACAGAGCTAAAAAAATAAACAACATCTATATTGACAGCAGAGCAGAAGGGAAAATTCCTTAGCATATATTTACATAACAAACTGAACTTTACCTGAGGGCCACTAACCCTAGTGGTCTCGACTAGGACAGGATGCCAGCCGCTTGTCGAAGATCCGCCCCCCCCCCTTTTGCCTTGATGATCTTCCAGGTATGTTATAAAACTCAACACAGTTTTGGTAGTTACGGCTTCGGCGGGTAGGCGGTTCCATGGGGGTTAAACGCCATGAAAAAACATCTCCTGTTCTCAGTGCTACATTATGGCTTGTTGAGCTTGAACCTGTTGCTCCTTGTTTATGATACAGCTGACCTGAAGAAGAAAATATCCGGATCAACATCCTCTAATTAACTTGTTCAGTATTTTAAAAGTTACAATGACTTCCGCCCTGTCATGCCTGGTCTGCAGTGTTGGTAGCCCTGTGGCTCTCAAGCATACGAGAAATGACTTAGCTCTGGAATAACTTTTGTTGCCCGGTGTTGCATTTTCTCCGGAGCAGCTATGTCCTTCTGAAGATGAAGGTCTCCATGCTAGGATACAGTAATCCAAATGGAAGCGTACCAGAGATTTATACAGCTGAACCATTTCCTTCTTTTCCTTATAGCCAAAAGTACGCTTCATTATCCCAAGAGTTTGGTTAGCTTTTTTTACTGTTGCTCCCACCTGTTGTGCAACATTTAATGAGTGGTGGATTTTGACTCCAAGGTCCTTTAATGGCTAAATAAAAAAGGCATTTAAATATGTAGGGCTACTCTCCAAATTCCCCTACTATATACCTCGCCCGTAATGATAACACTATATTACTCGTTACTTATATGCTAATTATAAACTCCATCTAATATTTCACTGTATAAATACTTAAATTATCCGCAACTCTCCTATAATACCCCGTTAATATCTCTCAACTTCAGGGCACCACTCCTGTGCCAGGTAAGTTACGGGCTCACCATAGCCCGTGCTACTTGGAACTTGTTCCGAGTAGCTGAATTTATAATAACAACAACAACTCTCAACATTATTACGTGGGATGAACCCAGTAAGTTGCCTCGTCGGCTTTGGTTGTGCTGAGACTTCTTCTACCTGATCTGGTGTAGCCTCTGACGGAGGCAGCAAAGGACTTACTGTAGCCTCTGACGGAGGCAGCATAGGACTTACTGTAGCCTCTGACGGAGGCAGCAAAGGACTTACTGTAGCCTCTGACGGAGGCAGCAAAGGACTTACTGTAGCCTCTGACGGAGGCAGCATAGGACTTACTGTAGCCTCTGACGGAGGCAGCATAGGACTTACTGTAGCCTCTGACGGAGGCAGCAAAGGACTTACTGTAGCCTCTGACGGAGGCAGCAAAGGACTTACTGTAGCCTCTGACGGAGGCAGCAAAGGACTTACTGTAGCCTCTGACGGAGGCAGCAAAGGACTTACTGTAGCCTCTGACGGAGGCAGCAAAGGACTTACTGTAGCCTCTGACGGAGGCAGCATAGGACTTACTGTAGCCTCTGACGGAGGCAGCATAGGACTTACTGTAGCCTCTGACGGAGGCAGCAAAGGACTTACTGTAGCCTCTGACGGAGGCAGCATAGGACTTACTGTAGCCTCTGACGGAGGCAGCATAGGACTTACTGTAGCCTCTGACGGAGGCAGCAAAGGACTTACTGTAGCCTCTGACGGAGGCAGCATAGGACTTACTGTAGCCTCTGACGGAGGCAGCATAGGACTTACTGTAGCCTCTGACGGAGGCAGCAAAGGACTTACTGTAGCCTCTGACGGAGGCAGCAAAGGACTTACTGTAGCCTCTGACGGAGGCAGCAAAGGACTTACTGTAGCCTCTGACGGAGGCAGCAAAGGACTTACTGTAGCCTCTGACGGAGGCAGCAAAGGACTTACTGTAGCCTCTGACGGAGGCAGCAAAGGACTTACTGTAGCCTCTGACGGAGGCAGCAAAGGACTTACTGTAGCCTCTGACGGAGGCAGCAAAGGACTTACTGTAGCCTCTGACGGAGGCAGCAAAGGACTTACTGTAGCCTCTGACGGAGGCAGCAAAGGACTTACTGTAGCCTCTGGCGGAGGCAGCAAAGAACTTCCTGCAGCCTGCGGTGAAATCGACACATCTTTGTGCGTCGTTGGACGTTGTGGTTGCTGGTTAGCGTCTACCGTCCTGCAACTTGAAAAAAGGTATTTGCTGATTGATATTACTGTAGCTTCAAGTTGTGGACATTCAAGCAGAGCGGGCAGTGTGATGACTCTTTATCTAAGACCTGCCATAAGACTACATTTTTAGTACTGTTGTCATAAAGAGAATTCCCATTTTCGAATCAAGGACCCGATCGAATAAAGCAATGGCAACTGCCTGGAGAAGCGGACTGATCAAGTGGCTTCGTATGTCTGCGGAAGGTGGGAGAATTCACAGCAAAAGAGCACGAAAATAGTCTCTCTCTCTCGTGCTGGGTAATGATTAGTGATTCCGTTGTTGGGGACAGGAAGCCTGTGCTTATGTTTATTGAGGTCCATCTGGACCAACTACTGATGCAACCCACAATAACTGCCCCTATTTACTGCAAGGTGAACAGAGGCATTAGATGAAATTCATTTATTTATTTATATATATACAAGAAGTTACATTGGGTTTATGAGAGTACATAGCATGATGTGTTTACATTCTTGTAAAGCCGTGAAACTTCCTGGATTGGTAAAATGAAACGTTCCAACCGTTTCTGTCTTGCCCAGGGACTGTACCGGGGGTCCTGCCATTATAGTTACGTTAGGTTTTATTAGTAATACAAACCCTTTTCGGTTTGTCTAAATTCAATAGCACCGAATTAAACTTTCTAGTTGGCCATTACGTTATTATATGTGCGATGGGCGACATCGTTACTATAAGCACTATCTAAACAAGAGGATGGGCTGGAATATCTAGTGGTCATTTCACTTTGTCTCAAGTCTACTCGAATTTGTTGCAGTTCTCGGTATACTAATACTGTCCTCGGGAGTCTGGCCCTAGCTTCGGTACGGGGCGGACGTGTTGAATCGGCGCTCCAGTAGTTGGTGTTGTTTGCCCGTTTCGGCTGGTTGGGGGCGGGTGTGTCTCTGCTCGCCTGTGCTGACGTGGCGTTACGATGGGGGTCCCTCTACCCCCTGTCGTCCGGGCTCAGTCTGTGGGACTAGAGTTCTCTGTGCGGGCTGGTTACCCGGAGATTGCCCTGGCTTGTGAAATGCTCTCTGTCCCTGTGTTTGCGATTTATGGGGTCGAGTTGGTAACGGCCCGTAGGGCAGTTGTGAAGTTTGCAGAGGAGGTGGCGTATCGCGATTTTCTCCAGCGATACGAGGGGCGGACACTGCCCCTGCCGGATGGTGCGGGCACTGTCACCCTCTCGGATAGGAGTGGTGCACTTACTTACATCAGTGTGCATGGGGCTCCCTTGGAGTTTCCAGAGGCTCTGCTACAGCGGTATTTCGGCCGATTTGGCGCAGTTGTTAGTGTGAGAGTGAACGTGGTGTCTTCTAGTCCTCTTAAGGGTGTGAGGTCTAACATTCGCACCCTGGGCATGAGACTCCGGGCGGATATTCCGTCCTCTGTGCGCCTTATGGGGTACAACGTTCGGGTGTTTTACGCCCGTCAGCCGCGGACGTGTTATCGTTGTGGTCTTTTGGGCCATCAGGCTGCTGACTGTTCTGCGCCTCCTGTTGCACCAGTGAATCTCTTCAGTGAGGAGGATTTTCCGCCCCTTCCTGTGGGGGATGATTCGGTGGGTATGGACGTCTCTTCGGCTGAGGAGGTGCCCTCTGTAGCAGCTGTTGCTCCGCCTGTTGCGCCCCCTGTTGTTGCCGCATCTCCTCCGGAGGTTGGGTCCTCGCCTAGTGCTCCAGCTGGTGTCCCTGAGCCTCTTCCGCCTGCCGTTTGCTCAGACCCCTCGTCTTCCAGTTCTTCCTCTGCTGTGTCTGTCACGGTTCCTGCGCCCTCGCCGTCTGTTCCGGCTGTGCTGGGAGCTGAGGTGGTTCCGGCATTTCCTCCTGTGCCTGGCCTGGTGCCCCGTGTGGTTGAGGAGGCTGCCGTGCTGCGGCGTGCGTCGGTTCGCTCGGTTGGTGCTGCGCGGGTCGCTGAGTCTGCCTCCGGGTCTGATGATGTGCGGCCCGAGCCTAAGCGTTCCCGGCGTTCTTCTGCGTGGGCTGATGTTGGCGAATTCGAAGAGTGTCGTCCTTCCGTTGACGGTGGAGTGGCTCCGGATGTGGTGCACACTACGGTGGTGGCGGAGATACACTTGCCTGAGGATGCCGGTGTTTCGGCCTCACCTTCTGGTTCGGTGTCCGAGGGTCCTGCTTCAGGTGCGTTGCCTGCGTCGGATGGCTCCGGTTCTTCGTGGGCGGTGGTTCCCCCTGCTGTAGTTGGTGGTGAGCGGGGTGGCCTGGTGGTGATGTTGAGAAAGGATGCTCGCTCTGGATGTTCTGTGGCGCCTTCCTCGTTACCCGTTTCCTCGGCAGCGGTCTTGCCGCCTCTTCCGTTTCCTGCAGTCCCTTCCGTGTCTCCTGCGGTATCCGTGGAAGTGCTATCGTCTCAGCGTCCGGCACCTGCTCCGACGAAGAAGGCGTGGCAGGCTCGGCGACCCTCGTCCGCTTCTCCGGTGTCGTCTGCTTCCTCGAAGGGCGTGGTTAGCGCTCCCCAGCCTCGTTATGCGACTTGCGTCAGTGACCTTGGGCGTTGGCCGATGCCGCCAGATATAGATGTTCCCGAGTTTATGATACCCGCTCGAGCGCGGGGGGTCGAAAACCCTACCGACCTTGAAGATCTCGTCTGGGAAGCTTACAAGGCGAAATATCCTCATGATCTTTTCCCGGAGAAGTACATTTCTCACGAGGATCCTCGCAAGTGATTTCTATGTATTTTGTGTTGCCTGGTTGTGGGGTGTGTATGTGAGTGGGTGGGGTGGGTATTGTTTCCCGGTTCCTGCGTGCTCCGGTTTGTATTGTTTTTTTTTGTATGGCTAGTGGGGGTGTGTGCGGTTCCTGTGCGTTTGTGTGTTCGGTTGTGGATGTCGTGTGCGCTTGCTTGTCATCTTGTGTGCCCTTCAGGCTGTTGGGGTGTGCTCTTTGTTATGCGTGCATTATGTGTTTGAGGTGTTAGCAGACTTGTTTTGTATGTTTCTCGCCTCTCTGTTTCCCTTATGTTTGTATTGCGCTGTGTTTATATTTGTGTTATGTTTGTATATGCATTTTTGTTTTGTGGTCAGCCCTTCTGGCTGGTCTTCTCTTGATTTGTTCCTTTGTCATTGTACGTGTGTGTGCTTTGTACTTTTGTTCTATGTTATATTTGTTCTGTTTTTATTGTACATTATACGCATGCTTGCATGTAAAAAAAAAAAAAAAAAAATACTGTCCTCGGTGTTTAATATAGGTAATCCAAGGTGGTAATCAGCTTCATCTTTGTCATACGTTGGCTAACTCATCAGTTCTATCATGCATACGGAAACCAATATTGGATGGGACCCATAGGAGACAGATTCTGAATTTCTCAAAGATTATTTATTTGTATTTATTTATTTACTTATATACAAGGTACATTGGGTTTGTGAGAATACATAGCATAGTATTTACAATCTTGTAAAGCCACTAGTACGCGCAGCGTTTCGGGCAGGTCCTTAATCTAACAGATAATTTTAAGTAGGTAAATTCTAGCAGAATTAATAAAATAACAAATACATTGCAAGAAAAAAATGAGACGAGAGAGATTAGTAAGTATATTAAAGCACATGGATATATTAAAGCTGATTGATTACATTGACAGCTTGATTGGTAATTTAAACAAGATTAATAGACACCGTACAGCAGATTGACAGTACATATAAGAAGACAGCAATGATCACAATGGTAAAGATGTTCGGATTAGGTACATAAAGATTGGGAGATTGGGTAGCAACAGATACAGTGCAATTTTAAAGCAAAAGGTAAAAAAACTATGAAGATGAAATTAGGTACTTTTTAGTATTGTTTTGAATGACGCAAAAGTTGGACAGCTTTTCAATTCAATAGGGAATGAGTTCCATAGACTGGGTCCCTTTATTTGCAGAGTGTTTACACAGATAAAGTTTGACTCTGGGGATATCAGAGATATTTATTTCGGGTGTGGTGATAATGGGTCCTATTACATCTGTCCAGGAAGAGTTTCAGAGCAGGATTTGCATTTAAGAACAGGGTTTTGTAAATGTAAATGTATTTTGTAAATTATTTTGTTATATCTGTGCACTGCATAAGACATAAGCACGTTAGTTATGTTTTCATGAATTGAATGCAATCTAGGATAGCAACGAGTCACTTCAAGTTCAAGTATGTTTATTGAGATAAGCAAGAAATACATCTCAAAGGGATAGAGTAGCTTAGGCTATTTCTACCCCCCAAGAGTCACTTACAATTAACGTATCAATTTTTGATACACTCACTCGTCTGAGTGTTAGGAGTATGGCATCTCTATCTGAAGAGTGGAAGCCAGTTGTTTATACGGGCTCCCCACTCAGACGCCGTCTCTAGTTGTCACAACAACTGTACTTCCATTAACACCATTGTAGAGCGGGTTATAGGAACCTCCAGCGTGAAGTTTGACATTGCCTGTGACCAGAGTATGAGTCTGGCTGAAGGCGAGGAGGTAAAGTTCGTTCCCTTAAATAATAGGCGAAGTTTGAAGATTTCCAATGTGCAAGAGATTGGTACAACTGTAATGCACAAGGGCAATAAATAAACTAACTTTTTTCTTTGTGAGAATAGAAAAAATAATATTTTTTCGGAGAACTTTTAGTTGAAAAACAATCAAATGAAATGTATCGGTTTTCTGGTTTCCTAAAATTTATATAAATAAAACCGAGTCTCGGACATTCTAGGTGCATATACCGGCCTCAAGATATCTTATATAACACTGATAACGTCCAAACGGCATCGTATGCATATAGAGATCCTTATTTTGATCAAACCGATGTCCAGGATCGGGCGGCGGCCATCTGCTCCCACCTTGCTTTCCTCTCATTTTTTTTTAAACGGGTGGGTGCAGGACGGACGGACGGACGGACGGACGGACGGACGGACGGACGGACACACACACACACACACACACACACACACACACACACACACACACACACACACACACACACACACACACAGAGTGAAGCAGGGCAAGAGTTACTGGGAGGTGGTGTGCGTGTGGGAGCGGCGTCAACACAACAGACATTAGTATCGGGCTCTTGTGTGGTGGGAGCCGTGAACGACCAGCCTCCTGGGTGGTATGAGACAGGTTTCTGAACAGTAAGAGATGGCGTATTGCTTATTTGGCGCGCGTTCTGGACGGCCTGAGAATATTTCGGTGCATTAGAGAGCAAGAGAGTGTACCCGCCTATAGTTGTGCTTGCAGGGGGTTGCATGAGCTCTGGCTCTTTGGTCCCGCCTCTCAACCGTCAATCAACTGGTGTACAGGTTCCTGAGCCTACTAAAAGTATACCGGATGTCAATTGTTTGATCGATTCATTTATTATGCACCCCATGCCCAAGGGCGGTGGTGGAAAGGGTTACAGAGGGAGGGAAGGATGGCCAGCCCATCAACACACACAACACGGTGTGTAGATGTGTCACCTGTGCTTGTGTTACCTTTCCAGTAACCACTCACAGGATGGGGTATGGTGTGCCTCTGCCACCCACACTACCACTGGGGGTTGATATGACACCAGACCTGTCCCCTGGAGCCCACATCAAAAGGATAACATCAGCGGCGTATACAAGGCTGGCATAGCACTGAAAATAAACAGCAATAAAACCAAAGCAATGACCGTTAAGGTGAGAACTCAAGACAGACTCGCAATACATGGACACGAAATTGAGTGGGTTTGCTCTTTTCAATACCTAGGAGTCATAATAAACAACCAGTTGAAATTCACTCAAGAAATTTAATATCTTCGGCAACGTTGTAAAGCCAGAAACTCAGCTTTGCGCTCCCTGACAAATCTTAGAGATGTTGCATCTCTACCAGTACTCAAAATGTACTACATTCAAGCAGTTAGGTCACTCATTGACTATGCTGCTCCTGCTCTTACATCCCTCAGTGATAACCAATGGCAGAAACTGGAAGTGTCTCAAAGTGATGCCCCTCAGAACAATGCTGGGAGCACCTATATGGACGCGTCGAGAGACTAAGAATGGAAACCAACTTACCAGCCTTAGAAAACAGGATCAAATAAAGAATAGCCGCCATAACAACAAAACTTGTTGGAACCACCGCCAGACTGTCAATCAAAGATAGCATACACAGATCGCTCCACAGAAACCTTCAATATAGAACAAGTGCATGGTCAGATAATCTGGTCAAGATTCTAGAGAAAGTTGACTCGGAAATGGACCATTAAAAACAAAGGAGAAGATAGACCATATCAACACTTTCGGCAGCCTCCTCCATGGGAAAAATCGAGTCCAAAGATAATCATTGAAGGATTACCAGTTAAAAAATCATCATGTGACCCGCAGAGGGTCAAAGCAGTCATAGAACAACAAATGAAAACCATCTCAAGACCTACAACCACTCACATCTTCACAGACGGATCAGTTGATCAAGAAAGAGGTTCTGCTGAGGCAGCAGTTTACACTACCAACCATGAAGCTTACTGGAGCATGAATAGTGGGTGCTCAACATTGCAAACAGAATTATATGCCATGAAGGAGGCCATAAACTATACAATTGAGAATAATTTACATGATGTCATCATTCATACAGACTCTAAATCTTCGCTCCAGGCATTGTTATCCAGCCACCACAGAGATAATATACAACTCATCACAGAAATCATCACATATCGGAAAAGAAGCACACAATCTAGGGCTGTCAATCACCCTAAATTGGATACCAAGTCACATTGGCATAGATGGTAATGAAAAGGCAGACTTACTAGCAAAAACTGCCACTGCTCTACCTGTCGTACAGGTTCAAATACCTCCAAATGTTTCACAGATTAAGGAACAAATCAAGAAAAAAATACTCCCAACTATCAAAAGTTGCCACAAACCCAAAGTAGCGAAAGGAAGATCCACTGAGATATGGTACGAACAAGCCACTGGGTACTCCTCTTTCAAGCTTGGCAAAAAGATATCCAGAGACATTGCAGTAGCCATACACAGACTCAGACTTGGTTACAAGTGCCGCTGGGAGGTAATGAACCCAATAGTTTAAGAGTGTCACATCTGTGGAACAGAAGCAGAGGCGCCACTATTGCACTACTTACTGGAATGTGAAGCTACTGAAGCCCTGAGCATCAAACTCAACATTAATCCAACGACAGCAGCTGCATTAGATGCACATTCCACCGCAACTACAATGGTTAGAAAAGCCGTTGAAGAATGGGACACACTAGTGAACATTCTGCATCTACATCCGCCATCTACATTACATTTAATGTTATTAAAACTAGACTAAAACCAGTGAGCTAAAACAAAAGCGAAAAAGACACAGGGGAAAAAGAAGGAAACTCCACCTCCATTTAAAACTTAAATGGAGGTGGAGCCCCAAATACCACAGTAACAAGGTTATCACGAATAACCGAACTCAATTACAGGTTCACCATAGCCCGTGCTACATGGACATTTCGTTCTGAGTAGTTAAATCTAAACCAACAAACAATAAGCAAGGCAGGCGAACGTAAGAACTGCCTTCAGAAACTTCTGTAAGGAATCATTTAGAACCTTGTATACCTCATATGTAAGACCAATACTGGCATATGCGGCTCCAGCGTGGAGTCCACATCAAATCAAACACAAAATGAGGCTAGAAAAGGTTCAGAGGTATGCCACCAAACTAGTCCTCGAGCTGAGAGGAATGAGCTATGAGGAAAGATTATTGGAACTGAACCTCACGACACTGGAAGACAGAAGAGTTAGGGAAAACTTGATCACTACCAACAAAATTCTCAGAGGAATTGACAAGGTAGATAAAGATAAACTGTTGATAAACAGGTGGTACGCGAACAAGGGGACACAGGTGGAAACTGAGTACCCAAATGAGCCACAAGGACATTAGAAATAACTTTTTCAGTGTCAGAGTAGTTAACAGATGAAATGCATTAAGCAGTGATGTGGTGGAGGCAGACTCCATACACAGTTTCAAATATAGATATGTCAGAGCCCATTAGGCTCAGGAATCTGTACACCATTAACGGTTGAGAGGAGGGACCAAAGAGCCAAAGCTCAACCCCCGCAAGCACAACTAGGTGAGTACAAGACAACGACATTTTATCTAACCTAACTCACCTATCGAAAATGTAAAGTGATTTTACGATTACTTGTGATGTGTGTGTAAATACCAGAACACGTTGTGTTGAGCGGGGTGAGAATAGCAGCCTAGCTCATCTCTTTGTATCGCAATATCATTTCAATTAAAAAGTCATGTTAGCCTCGCATAACCAGAAGATGTAGGTTTATAAACCAATAAAAGGATCTATGTACGAAACGTTCCTGTATGATATTATTATCTCGTTTAAGGATTTGATAAAATAACTGAGGCCAAAATACGCCACGAGTGTTGCCGGGTGGTGGTGTACGCGGGGGGTCAGGACTTTCCAACGCACTCACCCAACCACTGGTATAGTGGTTACGGTACTGAGCGGCCAATAGGAAGACCCTGGCCGTCTGTGTTCGACTCCTTGAAGGAGCTTTAGGCATTATAGTAATATTATATAGTTGGGCTACCTGGCAATGCCAGGATCTCTGTTTACACACAGAGATCACAATAGCATGATGTATCAAATGAACAAATCCACAAGGGCCGTGACGAGGGTTCGAACCTACGTCCGAGAGCATCCGAGATTCGAACCCTCGTCACGGCCCTTGTGGATCTTTTCATCTCTGTTTACCTTCACCCCCCCCCCCCACCTCTCTGCCTCAACCTGCACTTGAAATTCATCCTCACTCTCACAATCGACAGTCCCAGTGCTGGAGTGTCCATCACTGAGGCACACCGCCTCTGCCATTTCCCCATTACGCAGATGCACAGTACAAATGTAGCAGTTGATCACAATTTCACAATATCCAAGAGCGCCTACACTGCGACCGCACACGACCGCGGACTGGTCCGGACTGCTCTCTACCTCTTTCCCTTCCTGCCATTTCCTTTGCCTCTCTCCTTCATAAGAATACAAGAATGAAGGTAACTGCAGAAGGCTTATTGTCCCATACAAGGCAGCTCCTATTTATATCCTACCAATCTCATTCATATATGTTTAACCTACGCTTGAAACAATCAATGAATCCTATTTTTATAATGCTACACGGTAATTGGCTCCCCCACAAATCAACAACCCTGTTACCAAACAAGTATTTACCAAGGTCTTTCCTAAATCTAAACTTTTCCAGTTTATACCCATAGTTTCGTGTTCTATTATATGTTGATATTTTTAATATCCTATTAATATCCCTTTTACCAAAGAGTAATCACACTAACGTGACTGCATCAATGTGAAAATCCGTAAGAACCGCGAAGAGGGCTCGAACCGTCCCTCCTGTTCTCGCTGTCTCTCTCCTGTACACCAAGCGATTGACATCACACACAGAGACCACACTAACGTGATGCATCAAATGAACAAATCCACAAGGGCCGTGACGAGGATTTGTTCATTTGATCTGGCAAATCCCTTGTGGATTTGTTCAACCGATTGACAGTTTAGAAGCGGGCCCAAAGAGCCGAAGCTCAAACCCCGCAAGCACAATTAG